CAACAGGAGCCAGCATGTGTTTGTAAACCTTTGACCTGTGCCGAGCCCGGAGGCCAGGAGATATTTACAAGAGCTCAGCGCTGTCATAGCAATTAGCAGCCCGCGGTGGAACAGCACAAACACAGAGAAGGAGGAGGAGGAGGATGAAGAGGAGGAGAGAGTCCTTAGCATCAGTTCACAACCCCCTCATTATCCCCCTGCAGACGGCCACACTTCAGCAGCCCAGCGTGGAGCTGTACAAACACAGATGAGGAGGACGAAGAATGAGCATTCATACCCTCTGTGCTCCATACGTCTGTCATTATCCCACTCTTGCTCTTACCATAGATGTACATACTTCAGCAGCCCATAGATGAGGTGTACAAACATATATGAAGAGGAGGAAGAGAGAGCATCCACATTATCCAACTGTCCCTACTTCAGCCCATCCCACATCACATATCCTTCATTTTCCCACCACTGCTCATCCTCCTTCAAACCACCCTCATTATCCCATTTTCACTCTTTTCGCTCCCTTTTCCTCCAGCTTGTCCCACTTTCCTACTACGTTACACCTCCCATTTTATCCCACTGTTGTTCCTCCTGCTCCACACCTCCCTTATTATCCCACAGTCACTTCTCTTGCTCCCTCTTCTCCTGTTCTGCCACTCCCTACCTTCCTCATTTTCCTACCGCCAAATATTCCACTCCTCCTGCACCTCCTGTTTAATCCCACTACTGTTCCTCCAGCTCCACAACTCCATTGTCCCACCATCACACCTCTTGCTCCTCCCACTCCTCATCTCCCATATTATCCCACTGCTGCTCCCCTCACTCTCCCTGCTCTCCTACCACTTTTCATCCCACTTCCAAAAACTCATTCATTAGCCCACCATGCATCCCACTTCTCTTGCCCTTCCCAGTGCTGTCACTACTGCTTTATCCTGCTGTTGTAACCTCCGGTCCTCCGGGTCCACACTTACCTCACTATCAACAGCCAAATCAACCTGCAGCCCAAGAGCGGTTACTCACTGAAGCTAAGCAGGGCTGAGCCTGGTCAGTACCTGGATGGGAGATCACATGGGAAAGCTTGGTTGCTGTTGGAAATGGTGTTAGTGAGGCCAGCAGGGGGCCCTCAACCTACGGTCCGTGTGAGTCCTAATGCCCCAGTATAGTGAAGGGGGCACTATGCTGTCAGTGGGCGCCATCTTTCGGATGCGACGTTAAACCGAGGTCCTGACTCTGCGGTCATTAAAAATCCCACGGCACTTCTCGTGAAGAGTGGGGATGTAACCCTGGTGTCCTGGCTAAATCCCCTCCATCTGCCCTTACCCATCATGACCTTCCAATCATCCCATCCACTGATTTGGCTCTATCACTGTCTCTCCTCCTATAGCTGGTGTGTGGTGAGCGCACTCCGCCATTGTCTTGTGGCTGCCATTGCATTATATTACATCCCAATGTCTCAACCTTTGCTCGAACTCCCCCACTGCTCCCCAACTGCATTTTAACCCCCCACTGCTCCATACCTTTTTTAGCATTCCAATACTACTGCTCTTCCTGCTCTGCAACTCCCTTATTATTCAACTGCTCCACACTTCTTTCAATATCCTATCTTATCTCCTCTTGCTCCTCCAACCCTCCTCCACCTTATCTCCCATATTATTCTACTGCTGCTTCTCTCATTAACCCTGCTCCTCCTGCTTTTTGTGCTTCCCAACTTCTCCTGCTTCTGGTCCTCCTTCAGATCCTTCCACAACTGTCACTACTGTTTTAATCCCCTGCCACTTCTCTTACTCCACAACTCCCTCATTACTCTCATCGCTTCTCTTGCTTTCCCCACTAATCAAATCCTCCTGCTCATCCCCTGCCTCATCATCCCACCCCAATTCATTCCAATCCTCCTGCTCCACACCTACCTCATTATCCCACCACCGCTACCTTAACTTACCCTGATCCTCCTGCTCTTTCTGCTTCCTCAATTCTCTTGCTTCTGCTCATCTTCCTGCTCCGCACCTCCCTCATTATCCCACCACCATTCATTCCACTCCTCCCACTACTGTCACTCCTCCTGCTCCACACCTCCCTCATTATCTCACCACCGCTCCCCTAACTCCTCATGCTCTTTCTGTCCTCCTTCTTCTCCTGCTTCTGCTCCTCCTCCTACTCCTCACCTCCATCATTATCCCACAGCTGCTATAAATCCTCCTCCCATTCCACACTTTCTTCTTTGTTATCTAATGGTCGCTGCTCTTGCAGCCCCTTCTTCTCCCACTAATCTCAACCCCCCACTGATCTGCACCTCCTTTTTATTCCACCACTTATCCGCACCTCCTTTTATGCCATCACTACTCCTACCTCTCCTCATCTGCCTCATTTCTACTTATTACGCCTCTCCTCTAATTCCCCCTGCTCTTTTTGCTTCTTCCCTCCTCCTGCTTCTGCTCCTTCTTCTCCTCACTTCCTCTATTATGCCACCACCAAACGCCCTACTCCTGCTCCTACCACCACTGTCACTCCTCCTGCTCCAGATCTCCCTCATTATCCCACCACCGCTTCCCTAACTCCCCCTGCTCTTTCTGTCTCCTTACATCTCTTGCTTCTGCTCCTCCTCCTGCTCCTCACATCTATCATTATCCCACATCTGCTATAACTCCTCCTGCCACTCCACACTTTCCTCATTATCCAATAGTCGCTGCTCTTGCATACCCTTCTCCTCCCTCTCATCTCAGTCCCGCCACTGATCTGTACCTCCTTTTTATCCCACCACTTATCCGCATCTCCTTTTTATCCCAGCACTACTCCTACCTCTCCTCATCTGCTTTATTTTTCCTCATTAAAACTCTCCTCTCATTTTCCCTAAATTTTTTGCTCCCTCACTCCTCCTGCTTCTGCTCCTTCTTCTCCTCGATTCCCCTATTATCCTACAACCACTTGCCTTACTCCTCCTACCACTTTCAATACTGTCACTCCTTCTGCTCCACACCTCCCTCATTATCCCACCACCACTCCCCTAACTCATCCTGCTCTTTCTGTCTCCTTACAGATCCTGCTTCTGCTCCTCCTCTTGCCTCTTACCTCCATCATTATCCCACAGCTGCTTTTAACTTCTCCTCCTGCGCCTCACCTCCATCATTATCCCACAGCTGCTATAACTCCTCCTCCCACCTCCCACTTTACTCATTATCTAATGGTCACTGCTCTTGCAGCCCCTTCTCATCTCACCCTCCCCCCCCACTGATCTGCACCTCCTTTTTGTCCCACCACTTATCTGCACCTCCTTTTTATCCCATCAATACTCCATCTTCTCCTCATCTGCCTTATTTCTCCTTATTACACCTCTCCTCTCATTCACCCTACTCTTTTTGTTTCCTCACTCCTCCTGCTTCTGCTCCTTCTTCTCCTCACTTCCTCTATTATCCCACAACCACTTGTCCTACTCCTCCTGCTCCTCCCATTACTGTCCCTCCTCCTGCTCCACACCTCGCTCATTATTATCCCACAGCTCCTCATATAACTCCTCATCCTCCTCCACACCTCTCTTCATTTTAATTGGTCACTGCTCTTGCAGCCCCTTCTCATCTCACTCCCCCCACTGATCTGCACCTCCTTTTTATCCCATGACTTTTCTGCACCTCCTTTTTATCCCACCACTATTCTGCACCTCCTTTTCATCCCATCACTACTCCTTCTTCTCCTCATCTGCCTTATTTCTCCTTATTACACCTCTCCTCTCATTCACCCTACTCTTTTTGTTTCCTCACTCCTCCTCCTTCTGCTCCTTCTTCTCCTCCCTACCCCCCTCTCCTACTCCTCCTGCTCCTCCCATTACTGTCCCTCCTCCTGCTCCACACCTCGCTCATTATTATCCCACAGCTCCTCATATAACTCCTCATCCTCCCCCACACCTCTCTTCATTTTAATTGGTCACTGCTCTTGCAGCCCCTTCTCATCTCACTCCCCCCACTGATCTGCACCTCCTTTTTATCCCATGACTTTTCTGCACCTCCTTTTTATCCCACCACTATTCTGCACCTCCTTTTCATCCCATCACTACTCCTTCTTCTCCTCATCTGCCTTATTTCTCCTTATTACACCTCTCCTCTCATTCACCCTACTCTTTTTGTTTCCTCACTCCTCCTACTTCTGCTCCTTCTTCTCCTCACTACTCCTCACTCCTACTCCTCCTGCTCCTCCCATTACTGTCCCTCCTCCTGCTCCACACCTCGCTCATTATTATCCCACAGCTCCTCATATAACTCCTCATCCTCCTCCACACCTCTCTTCATTTTAATTGGTCACTGCTCTTGCAGCCCCTTCTCATCTCACTCCCCCCACTGATCTGCACCTCCTTTTTATCCCACCACTTTTCTGCACCTCCTTTTTATCCCATCACTACTACTCCTCATAATCTTCCCATCACTACTCCTTCTTCTCCTCATCTGCCTTATTTCTCCTTATTACACCTCTCCTCTCATTCACCCTACTCTTTTTGTTTCCTCACTCCTCCTACTTCTGCTCCTTCTTCTCCTCACTACTCCTCACTCCTACTCCTCCTGCTCCTCCCATTACTGTCCCTCCTCCTGCTCCACACCTCGCTCATTATTATCCCACAGCTCCTCATATAACTCCTCATCCTCCCCCACACCTCTCTTCATTTTAATTGGTCACTGCTCTTGCAGCCCCTTCTCATCTCACTCCCCCCACTGATCTGCACCTCCTTTTTATCCAACCACTTTTCTGCACCTCCTTTTTATCCCATCACTACTACTCCTCATAATCTGCCTTATTTTTCCTTATTACACCTCTCCTCTCATTCACCCTACTCTTTTTGTTTCCTCACTCCTCCTGCTTCTGCTCCTTCTTCACCTCCTCACTTCCTCTATTATCCCACAACCAC